GGTGAAGCGCTTGACTACTAGCCGAAAGGCTGGTGGTTCTAACCCGCCCAGAAGTGCTTTGGAAGACAGGCCTGGCGATCTGCTTCCCAAAGGTCACAGCCTTGAAAACCCTAGGAAGCAGCTCTACTCTGCACACATGGGACCGCCTCAGTTGGGACGGACTCGACAGCGACTAACGACAATTCAGTGCGAATCATAAGATAAGCAGGATGTGAAATTCACAGGGAACTCCTGGTGGTGCAGTGGTGAAGAGCTACGGCTGCTAACCAAAAGGTCGGCAGTTCGAATCCACCAGCTGCTCCTTGGAAACCCTACGGGGCATTTGACTCTGTCCCATAGGGTCACTATGAGTCAGAATCTACTTGATGGCAATGGGTTTGGTTCTGGTTTTTGGAAATTCACAGAGCTTAAGTATAAAGTATGTACTTAAAATGTTAGCTTTTCTTTCTCCTTCTTCAAGAAGTCCTTAGACGGGTTCAATTTTGATAAATTAGTATGTTAAGTTTGTGATAACTACTTTTCTACCATTAAAAATAACTCATTTTTAATATCACAATGACATTCTAACCAAGCTTTTTAAAAGCATATAGTTTAACTATCCAATTCTCACAAATTCTAAGTTCTAGAGTTACTGAATGCTAAAGTTTTAAATCAGAGCTACACTGGAAGCATTTCTAAGCAGCTGGAGAAGCTTCTGCCCTGCAGGAGAGTGGGCTCACGTGGTGGCTACGTACCGTCCTGGCCGTGGGTGGGGCCGACGGGCTCGTCAGGGACACGGCCTCCTGGATGGCCAGCCTCAGCTTCAGCCTGTGCAGCGGGTTGCTGATGCCGATCTCGCGCTGGATCTCCGTGTCCGACAGGGCCGACATGATCGCCCCACTTTTTACATTCGCTCGGCAAGCAGCCACATACCAGGCCGGCATCCCAACCCAGAGCTGGAGACGGGGGGGAAGGGCAGAATGTCATGTCGTCTGAGAAGTGGATTCACAAGTTTATATACACGATGCACACACTTGACTTGGTATGAAAATAATGATATACCTCCAGCCACACGACGACCGTTGGCCCGTCCCACTGTGCAAAAGGTAAACCCTGTCTCCGGGCTTCGTCGAGTAATTCGTGCCTGCAAACAGTAACACAGCCAAAATTTAACAGCATGATTAGATGCAGGCATAAGACAAGTTAACAGAAGTACTCTCTTTAAAATCTTCCAAAAGTATGAGAGGATGCATCCTTTTCCTTTAATCTC